ACTTTCAGAACAATCGAGTCTGATATTTCATTCGTTGTTTTTGATCGAGCACTGAAGCATGATTAACAGTAATCAAATTTATTCTAAGTGAGGAGATGAACTCAGTTGTTTGCTCCATAGTTTTCTTCATATGAACACTGGATTTTCTTGAAAATTACAAAAAGTTGATCCACTGTAGTGATGTCCAAATATCAAAAGACTGAATATTGAAAATCATCGGTTTCATTCGCTCCTCTTGGGTGTCCAACAGAATATGCAGAAAGTTTTTTTCTTGATACTGGAATGACCAAACTGTATCTCTTTAGAAAGTGAACAATTTTTAGTAATTTTCGGTGTCCGTCTAGGTGCACCTGAGAAAAAGTATGTATCTTCACGAGTGGAGAAAACTTTTGGAAAGACTTTAATGTGCTGCATGTAGACGTGCGTGTGATTTCCGTTGTAAATCTTTTCATGCTCATTCGCACATCTGTGTTACCAGGTTGTGGACTCCATTTTGATGTTACTAATGAATCCATAAGATGAGGAGTGAGATTTCGATTTCATGGTGTCGTCATTTACTCACAGATCATCATGTCTAAGTAGTTATAACTTTTTATAGATATATATAACGATTCAGACAGTCATGGCGAAAGCGTTGAAACAATACAATCAAAACAAAAACAAATCATGTCCTTTTTATCAATTGGACCAGACCAAGCGTGAACAGGCACAAAGAATGGCTTTCATTCCCGGAGAAGCATCTGATTTTTATCATTGTTGTCAACGTGGTTCTACTAGTTGTGCGCGTAGAATACTTGAAGATGCTGCTTCGAATGGTGGACCAACAATTGAGGAATTAAATGCTTTGCAACCGAATGGGAGTACGGCACTTCATGCAGCCACATACTACGGATATACGGACATAGTTGAACTTCTTTTGCGTTATGGCTGTAATCGAACTACGTTGAACCGATATGGTAAACGAGCCTATGAGGAGGCACAGACACCTGAAATGAAAAAATTATTCGATCGACCTAATTCGACCAATCGTTTCCATGAATTAGACCCGGCTCATATGATGGCTCTTTACATTGCTGAGGAAACGGGAAACAATCCGAACTCTAATGCCACATTCAATTACGTTCATTTCTTCAAATCAGACGATGAAATTCTCGAACACTCATTAAATCAAGAAACAACTGCTCTCTGGCTCAAGCTTTAGAATTGGTTTACACATTCGTTTCGTTCATTTCTTCAGACTGAAAATTTCAGTGTGGATGCTTTTGATCTACAAAATCACGGTGATTTCAAGCAATTCCTTCAAAATCTTCCCGATCCTCAAATGCATCAAAGTAGTCTGAAATTTATTCAGGAAGCTAACCGAAGAAATTCAATTGCACCTCTCATCACACTTTATTCTAGTGAAGAAGCTGGATTGTATCGGCCACTCAATCAACAATTGGCCAGTTCACCAAGCGGAGCTCAAACTAGCCCACATCTGTGCGATCGATTCGTCATGGAATTTTATCTCAAACGAAAAGAACTCAAACAACGAGCATTCACTGGTACTATTTATCGTGGTGCTACACTTTCTGTTGATGATGTCGCTGTTTATGAGTCGGCTCTAAAAAATGATTCTACAGCTGTACTTGGTCTCAAAGCATTCACATCAACATCGATCGATCCACTTATTGCTCTTAGTTTTGCTATGAAAACTCCCATTGGTGAAGGACAGAAGCATGTACTCTTTGTTTTCGAGATCAATAAAGTCTCATCAACAATCTTTGCCATAGAAGATATTTCTATTTATGGACAAGAGCGAGAAGTACTCATTTTACCTGGCTCGCTCTTCGTGGTTACTGATATTCAAGAAAATACTGAGCTCCAAATTACACAGATTGTTTTACGTCATTGGAAAGTCTCTTTTTCATTCATGACCAAATTAAAACAAACATTTCGATCGGGTAAAAAAAGTGTCATCTGAATTATATTTTCAGACTCATTCATGTACATAAACAATGATTCTTTTATAAAAAAAAAAAATGTACATTTTTCATAGATAAAAAGACTACATGATGTTTTCTAACTACCGCAGCATGGATTTGAGTATGAGTCTTTTCTTAATATTCATACTCATCCTTTTCTAATATGGAGAACTCTCTATTATAAGAGAATGTATATTATGAAGGCGGGCGTTGCACTATTTGTTTTTGATAGCTTTAAGAATAATTAAACTCATGTAAATTTTTTTAATTCATATAAATCAAAAAAGTCATAAAAGCATGAAGTAAGCCGTTTCCAACTTCTGCATACGACGTTCTTAAAATATTATCAATTATATTTTCTCTCAGTCATAAGAAAATAATACATTTAGATTAACAACCAAGATTATTCATTACTATTGAAGTTTCTGTTCCAGAGATAGTATTCGGTAATTGATTTGAATTACAAACATTGTTCGTAATCATAAATGAAGAACCAGTCACATTAAGTCCCTGTCCATTAGCAAAGATACGACAACTAATAATTTGATATTGTGTCACAGATTTATTTGGTATCCAAATACCACGACCATTGTTATTACGTATTTCAACACCATTAAGAATAAATGTTCCGCTATGCACTGTTAGACTGTTACACCAGTCAGACTGTTTTGGACATTCGTATACTCCACCATTGAAAATTGTACCTCCACTAATTGATAAAAGTGCTGTGGTATTTACATCAATAAATACTTGATCGATCGTACTTGATGCTGCCCATATACCAATGATTGATACATAACTATTATCACGAATGATTAAACCTCTACCATTTGAATCAATTGTAGCATGACTAATAAAAATTTCTCGATTTGAACCAACACCACTACTATTATCAATCAACATTCCAATACCCAGTCCAATAATATCCGTATTATCTACATGAACACCACCGTTATTACCCGTGCAATGAATACCAATACTTTGATCAAAACGAACACCAGCTCCAACGATTCTACCGCCTAAAATTCGAATCTCTGATCCATAACCTATTTGTATACCTGTACCCTTAATTTTCCACATGATAACATCGCGTATAGTATTCGTATCTGCCACGCCTACCATTGCTATGCCACTGGATACTGGAGAGCTTTTTGAATCATTAGAATTAATAATAATATGTTCAATTTGACTTTGAACTAGATCTTGAGCATAAATTGCAAATTTATCTAAGGGTTTAAGAATAGCACTTGATGTTATAGCAAAATCACGTATTGTTAACTGTGATAATTCGCTACCATCTTCTATAAATATAAATAAACAAATTCTTATTGATACTAATTTTAAAAGGAAAATAAGCATATTTCGTACGGCGAAGTCATAAAAAAAATTAAATATCTCGGTTTATTTTCAATCATAGTTTTTCGTTGAAAGTATCACTACTTACGTGACAATATCACAATTAAGTGATCATCAAATTCCCATAATAGTACCGAACTTAGTCCATCTCCAGTAATAGTAAACCTATAATTGGTCTTGAAAATTAATGATGAACGAACTATAAATGTGCCAGTTGGTATGTAGAATACACCGTCACCTTCCATACATTTGGCGATAGTTTCAACTATGGCATGTGTGTCATCGGTCTGTCCATCACCAACAGCGCCGTAATCTCGAATATTAAAAACTGTCGAACAAACAAAATTAAATTTGGTTAATACTACCACAAGAATAATAACATTAATGTTTAGCATAATCAACACTTTGTACTTCAAACATAAGAAATAAATTTTCATTTTCACAATTCTTATCAATATGTCAACATTTTGGTTATTTTTATTTTATTATCTTCCATGCCACTACTAGTTTACATTTATTCTCCTTCAACAAAAACGAAAGTCTACCTTCTTCACAGTGAAAAAGATTTATGAAATTATGATTTGCATTAATTGTTATTTCGTAAGATAAATCATTCACAAAACTGAGTGGAGTAAGTTGAAATCGATAATGTTAGAATAACATACAAACCTGTATGTGTATGTCACGTTGAGTGTGCTTTACCTATATGATGAACTACGCTTCCGACGTGTTGACTTGAAATCAAATCGGTTGACTCCGATTGAAATTTTAAAACTGGCCAATTTTAGCCAATTTTTTTATTATTCATTTTCATGCCAAAGCATCTAGTCTATTTTGCCCATTTCTATCGATTTTTACGGCTGTTATAGTCCAAAAATATGAGTACAAATGTTTTCAATTGACAAATTTTGTAGCCGTAATCGAAATTGTAACATTAAATTTTGAACGCACACTTTCTTACAACATTATAAGAGTCTTGAATCATGTTAACTGTATTGATAATGATTATGAAAATTTAGTCAGCCATTAGATATTAAATTCTGTATAAACTAAAGATTTCTCATTCAGAAAATTTCTACTTCACCTCTCTAGATTGTTTTTAACAAATCATCAGAAACTTTCAATCGATGCAACTGTGAAATATCTAGATATTATAAGGCACCTAAAAATATGAATCCAAACATTATATGATTTTCACATTGTATGTCTTCGGGAAACATATTGATCATACTTGGACAAAATACGTTTGAGCAAGTCTTAATCGTGATGATAAGAATTCTAGTTGTTATTCAATAAAATCTTTCAATATGTAGTTCATGAAATGTTTCAAATATTATTTTCGAACATTTTGAATCCAAAGTACTCAACAATCAATCTCTCAATAGTAATGAGCAAAAGAATTGAACAGAGACCGAATCAAACCGAGTTTTACTGATTGGGGTTTGATTCGGTTCATTTTCAGTTCTTGAGAAGCGTGACATTTTTCTTTGAATTTATTCGAAACTCAAATTATTGTTAATGTAATTTTTTTTTCTTTAACAGTTTATTTCTGAGTTTAATAAATTTTTATAAATGTAGATTGATCCTTCCTAGTCTCTGATGTAAAGCGATAAATCAAACATCGTTTGATAATCACCAACAGCATCACAATTTCCATAAAAAATACTGTAGCTTAGTCAATCTTTTTTCTTATGTGCTTGTCTACATCCATTCAATTTTCAAAAATTATAGTAAGATTCAGTTCAGCTCGACGTCGTTTCTTTTTAGGAGTGGTTCGAATTAATTTGGGTTTGAATGCATTTATAAAAAAAGAGATCGTTTCAGACAAACAAGGAAATGGGAAAGATAATGTTTCAAAATGTGTTGTAACTCATCGCTTTGATGAAGCAACAGGTTGAACCCATGAAAACGGGTTTATTCTTGTGTAGACAGGTTTTAACGCATTTCATAGGCAAATTGTAATAATTTAATAGGTTTTAATGTATTTTTATATATCAATTAGGGTCAACTAAAAATGTATCGTTTAAACTCGTTTACTGTTAACAACGCTTTTTAACTTAGATAAAACGAAAGTTTTTCACGGAGTTATTTATTTATCCTATTCTGTTGGTGATAGCACTAATCAGTAGCATCGAATTTCGTTGTTACTACAAAACAAAAAGTAACACTCATTACTATTCAACAATTCCCATTTTTCCTTATTTAATCGATACATATCATTTTATTTATTCTCAAGCATATAAATTTAATAAAAAAGACTCTTAATTAAATATTCTATAATACATGTAGGACCATTTTTTTTTCATGCGCTAATCTTTTCAAGAATAACTCAGTCAAGTAAGTCCGAAAATCTTTTTCAAAATCAAAAATATTATTTTGATCGCACAAATCACTGAAGGTTCGTCCATATTCTTTCTCAGTTAGATTCCAATTTATCATTTCAACAATAAAAACATTCACCGACGAAAATTTAATTCAAATTATTTGAAGAAAAAAAAGTACTCATAACAAACTTTAATAGGAATCTGTTCAATCAACATAAAAAAAAACTTACTAGTGAAAAATAGTAAGCATAAGAATAATTCGTGGTATGGATAAAAATATTAATATTACAGGCAATATTAAAATTCAGTATCGGGAGTTAAAGAGTATGTAACAATAGTATAATTTTATTTCTTTGCAGAGATTATAGTCATGACCATGTAAATATAAATTAATGAAAAACTCTCTTAGTAAATAAACAAGATCCCCAACTCTAAAATTTAGACTGTACGAGATCTTTGACACTTGAGTTAGTTTTTCTTGGAAATTTTGTTTCAGTATTTGAAAGGTAAAATAAAATAAAAAAATTTTCTAGAAAGCTATCGCTAAATTATTTACATTTATATGACCATGAACCTATTCTTTGAAAAAAGATGACACTACATTATTGTTATATGCTATTGAACTTTCGACTTTCTTCGAATCGATGTTACCTGATATCTCTTATTTATTAATAAATAATGTATTTTAATATTGCTTGTAATATTAAGGTATGCAGGCTATATTTATTCTTCCCTAGTTTAAATGCGTTGTACACAGTCAAAAAGGTCCAAAATTACGAATTATAACGCGTTTAAGTATAAGAAAAAGCACTGTGTTAAACATTTTTACTGTGCAATACGCATTGAATAAAAGAAAATATAGGACTGTTTTAACGCGCCAATTTCATATCTATGACTGCATGGAGTGTTCAGGTTTGGTTCAGTTCATTTTCGGTCTCTGCTGACCAAGTCCGTTTAGTTTCGATTCACAATCCGATTGATATTGGTTTGAAAGTTGTTTTTGAAGTTCGGTTCCTTGGAGTAAATTAGTGAAGTTCGAAAATACGAAATTTAGAAAGATCAATGCCGAGATTCAAAATTTGACTCATATATGCTAAGATGATGTTTTCAAGTCGTTTGACATCGTTTCAAGCTTTGTTAAGAATTAGTTTGTCATACTAAATTCTAGAAACAGAGTTTAAAATAGAATGACTTATTTTTATAATCGATTTATGCATTAAAATATAGGCGATTTGTAGAGATCCGAAAAAAAATGCCACAAAAAATTAATAATTCGCTTTCAAACTAAACGAAAGATTAAGTTTCCGTCTTGTTTTTCTCAACAAAAATTTTCTTTCGAAATTACACACCAAGTAATAAACTCTTGCTGTGTTATCATTTCATTTTATTACAAAATTTCATAATTCCATTCACAATTGATTTTCTTGTGTTTCTATTAGTTAAATTAGTTCCATTATCTAACTAAGCTAAAACTTTCAAATATTGAATCAATGCTTCGCTATCAACTTCTGTTTTATCTTGACTACATATGCCAAAAAACTTTGATTAGAACAAATAGAAAGTAACAGTTAAAATTATTTGAATTCAATCAACTTAACATACTAATCTTAATTGTTTTTCTAAATTGCCTGGTAATGTGAAAGAAAGTGTTGGCATGCCATTCAACAAAGCTAATGAATTCTTTATGATTTCAATCAATGATAGAAAATACATGATTAGAAAAATATCATGTATCACCACTAAATATATCATAAAGAAAGTTTTCGAAATTTAAGTTATATTCTATTTATTCGAATGACTTACGTTGGGTAAAGATTTTGGAATTTACCAATCAATTTATCATCTTTCAATGCACTGATATGGCTAAAATAGATATTTACAATATTAGAAATTATAGAATGTCATAATGTGATCTAATGAAATTTTTATGCTATTGTTCAATGTGTTTATCGGTTAATGTTGAAAATTTGTTTTCTATTTTAGTCTCTCGGATTTGTTTACAAAGAGTATTGCTATGAAAGAGAAATAGAAATAATCATACGACCTTCATTTTTGTTTGTTTCAGAAGCTTACTTAGCGATGTATGATAAAAAACTTATGTCGTAATTGTGCTCCGATGAGCATGAAAAATAACACAAGTGTTTGGTTTTTAGTCCAAACCAATGTGTAAATCATGATCAATAACTCGAAAAATAACCTTTTTGCGTTCCTGTTTTCTCTGCAACTCTGTATAGATATGTGAAGCATCGTTATTGTTTATACCAATTTGCTTGATTCTTTTGCTACCATTCATTCGAAATAGTTAACAAATAAATATCATAATCATGGTATTTTTCAATAAAATCATCAATCGATTTGAGATTCTTCAAAAGAATATTAGCGTTTGGTGTTTTTCATCTAGTACACTTTAATCAAATAGACTAAGAGATTCAATTGTAGCAAGAATATGTGAATTAGATTTAAGAAGTTGTTTAACAGAAATAATAGAATCAGAATTTTATACATTAAATTTATCTAATAATTCGACCATTTCTTTTTCATCAGCTTCACAACGACGAATTTTTTCAAGTAAAAATGCTAATTGGCATCGCGTTTCTAATTCGATACCTGTCAATACTCCTTGTCGAACATGAATAATTTCAATATAACTGAATGAAATCCAATCTTTCCATGATTGAATTGTCTCAAGAAAGTCATTAATTAATCTTTTACTATGACTCATTTATTCCAAAATAGTATCGATACAATTTATGACACTGTTTGTTACTTCTTTAATCATTCTAAAATCCACAGAAAACAAATATTAATAGTGAACTCTTTTATCTATAGATCATTTCATAAGTTATCATAGAGCAAGAAAAATTCTTTGATTCTGCTAGAAAAACATGAAAATTTTCGTTGAAGGAGACAGTTGATCTTCATAACGTTTAGTCCTGACAGAGAGCTTATAAAACCAGTAGGCTCAAAAAAGTAGGCCATCAGCCGGTGAATCACAATAATATTCCTCATTCTAACGCATGTTTCTTTTAAATACAACAAAACTTTTTACACTTCAATATTGTTATCAATGTCCATGAGCTTTATCAAAAACTTCAAAATTTTACATTTTTCTTCATTCAAGCCAATTTTAATCATTTATTGCACCATTTATTAGCATTTTTATCATCAATAAAAATTTCAAACAAGCGCCACTCATAGACAAAAATTTATACCAATTTACCAGAACAACAAAGATCGCAATCTTTGATGCTTATTTTTATAAATGCAGCTGAACCTTTTGCTTTACTTTAGAGCTATCATCCAAAGGTATCTTGCAAAACACTACTACAAACTCAACCATTCAAGGCACCACGTCCGTGCTAACTAAATGTCATTTTCACTTATGTGCCACTAAACAGGATTCAGTTTGAGTTCTAGGAAGCAAGTCAACTTTGAAATTTGTTGATGGACTATGAATGATTTTTTCAGTATCGAAAATAAAGTAGCATAGAACTTTCATCACGTTATGTCAATGACAATCATCATGTTTGGTGTTCAGCTCAAACAATATTTGACACCAAATATTAGACAAACGTATAATCAACCTAGATTCTACTTCCAGTGGTACAGATGGTTCGAAACCTACCAATAAGCCATAGAAAAACTCGAAAATCTATTAACAAAAACATTCCAACATATTAATCAAAACATGAAGAATTGAATCCGTTTCACTTAAGATTAAATGTTTTCAATCAAAAGCAGTGTATTATAAAAATTGATCTTTACCCCAAAATACAATCGTTATACCTTGAATTAATAGGGTGTGTGGATGTAGCTATGTAGGAGGGGTATGTGTGGTTATGGTATGGGTAAGAGTGTGGATCTGAATGTCAGTGTGGGTGCGTTGGCGTAGATGCAGACAATCTGTTTACACACAGACACATCCTCACGGAAACTAGCACAAAAAGCTACACAGTTCAGGCAGAAAAACTTTTCAGAAAACGCATTTAAACGCACAAAAAGGGCGAAAAATGGATGTTTTTGGCTCACAGTCGGGAACCACGAGTGTGAGCCAAAAACGTCCACTTTTTGCAGATTTTACGCCAATTTCTGTGCGTTTAAACGCGTTTTCTGGAAAGTTTGTCTGCTTGGGAGCCACCCACACGCACACCTACACCCTTTCAAATATATAAATTTATAGATTTGAAGAAGATAAAAAAAAAGTCTCGCTCATTTTTCTACTAGATATCAATAAATTTGGCAATAATTTCGATAATTCGTCTTTGTTGTTGGAAGTGATTTTGATTAATATTTTCTTTTCCAATTTTGATACTTCATGAAATTATTTGTTATATTATTCATTTTCTGTTTGAGATGAAAGAATTCTGCTATCTTTTGCTTCATTCAGAATTACATATGTATCTTAGATTTTAATACATTATACCAAAGTAAACAAACAAGTTTAATTAGATGTTTCTGTAATCCATACTTTGTTACTAGATTGATTATCAGATTAGGAACTAAGAAATTTTGACTAGTAAAAAATACCATATTTAAATACATAAACTACTATTAATATCATTATATATTCCATTGTTTTGACAAAATTTGTCTATTTATTTTTCGATCATAAAGTATAATTCAGAGATGTCCATCGCGGCGCTGCCGCTGCCGCTGCCGCGCCGCTGCCGCGATGGCGGTGGCGGCGCGGCAGCGGCAGGTTTTTTTAAAAAATCACTGCGGCAGCGGCGCGGTAGCGGCAGATTTTTTAAAAGTCATCGCGGCAGCGGCAGGTTTTTTAAAAAACCATCGCGGCAGCGGCGCGGCAGCGGCGCGGCAGCGGCAGGGTTTTTTTGGAGAACATTGAAAAACTGTATGAATTTAATAGAATTTCAGGATTTACAAATGAAACGCCCTGATATTGAATAAATCTGATGGACTAGTACCCATATCTCTGGTCAAATATAGTCACAGCAGTGAAATTAGAAACACTTTTTTGAAAACCGTCGCGGCAGCGGCGCGGTGGCGGCACGTTTATTTTATAATTCATCGCGGCAGCGGCGCGGCAGCGTTTCTTTTATAAGTCATCGCGGTGCGGCAGCGTCGCGGCAACATTTTTTTATAAACCGTCGCGGCGCGGCAGCGGTGCGGCAGCTTTTTTTTTCTAAGGCCGCGGCGCGGCAGCGGCAGAGTTTCAGCCGCGATGGACATCTCTGGTATAATTACCATTTTTATATGCTCGAACATTGCCATCTATCAAAAACCATAGTGGATAGTAATATTCACGTCTTTCACATCCAGATGGATATATTTTATCATGAATCACTTCATCATTAGCAAGATAACCTGTCCACCATCGAAATGTTCCACCAGTTATGATTGAATGTTCACAAAGTGAAAGTGTTATTAAATCATCACCGATAGAAAATGTTCGTGATGTAACAACAATATTCGATCTATGACGAAACAGATTTTTACAATAAGATTTATCATCACTAACAACCAGAAAATGAGCATTCGGAAAGCGTCTCATGTTATAATCAATAGCAGCAATTAAATATTCATCAGATGAAGAAAAATTCAAGGGAAACAAAGTCTTTACGATGTATATGAATTCCAATCCATGTTGTGCAGCTCGATTGAGCTAATTGTTTTTTTGAATAATTGATGATTTTCTACTGAGACTTGAGATTTGAAATGACACTTTTGTTTATAAATTTTAATGAATAATTTCGAGACTTTCTTAAGTACAGATTGTCTTCCGACAAATATACGTTCTCGAATATCTTCACTATATTTAGCAAAATGTAGATATGATTACCAATAATCATACAATTCAAATATATATCCTGGTAAGATTGCAATTTGGACGTATCATTTCAGGAACATATTGACAACCAACACTTCTACCTATTGTAGATATTGGTTTTGAAGTATTGTGAATGATTGAATTGAAAATGGTTGTTGAAATAAGAAAAGGAGAAAGATCAAGAATGAAGACGAGCTAGACCATAAGCACTAACAATCCTAAACATTCGATTGCCAAGACGACCATAACGATTTTTCAAATATACGATACAATTTTTTTATTGTTGGTGTAACGTTGTTAAAATAGATGTATGATTTGAACTAAGAAGGTTAATTTTTATTATAAGTTTCATTATTCTAATATAGAGACTAGCAAAAATGCTTGTAAAAATAATAAATAAAATCCAAATTGCCTCGTACTTTGTTGGTTGAGAATTATATCCATTCATAATTTTTTTTTCTATTGAAGTATTTACGATTGTCTCCGCTTTATAATAATCCAAGGATAGATAAGATTTATGAAGAAAAATATACTATAATCAGTATATAGAAGATATATATAGCCTCTAATATTTCTTCTCTAACTGCATCATTTAC